ATAAATGGGGGAAAAGGATGGAGAAAAAGACACAGATAGTAATCATAACTGTGAATGTGAATGGGATGAACTCTCCCATAAAACGGAAACGATTGCAGAATGGATTAAAAACCATAATCCTACAATATGTTGTTTACAGGAAACACATTTGAAAAAGAGTGACACATACAGGGTAAAGGTAAAAGGCTGGAGCAGAATATATTATGCTCAGCTGAAGTAAAAAAGCAGGGGTAGCAATCCTGATCTCAGACAAAGCAAAAGCAAAAATAGATCTAATCAAAAGAGATAAGGAAGGAAACTACATCCTGCTAAAAGGCACCATAGACAATGAAGTAATATCATTAACATATATGCACCAAATGGTATAGCATCCAAATTCTTACAGGAGAAGTTCAGGGAGTTACAGGAAGAAATAGACAGCAAAACTATACTAGTGGGGGACCTGAACCTCCCCCTCTGCACTAGATAAGTCTAACCACAAAATAAACAAGAAAGAAGTTAAGGAGGTGAATAGAACATTAGAAAAGTTAGGTATGATAGACCTCTGGAGAAAACTGAATGGGGATAGAAAGGAATATACTTTTTTCTCGCAGTACATGGCACATACACAAAAATTGACCATGTACTAGGGCATAAAAACCTCACAATCCAATGCAGAAAGGCAGAAATATTGCATCCTTTTCAGATCATGACAATAAAAATTATATGTAATAAAGGGCCATGGAAAGATAGACTAAAAAATAATTGGAAACTAAATAATCTAATCCTAAAAAATGATTGGGTCAAACAACAAATCATAGAAACAATCAACAATTTCATTCAAGAGAATGACAATAATGAGACAACATACCAAAACCTATGGGATGCAGCAAAAGCAGCTCTTAGGGGAAGTTTTATATCTCTAAATGCTTGCATAAATAAAATAGAAAAAGAGGAGATTAATGAATTGGGCATACAACTAAAAAAACTAGAAAAAGAACAAATTAAAAATCCTCAACTAAACACCAAATTAGAAATATTGAAAACCAAAGGAAAAATTAAGAAAATTGAAATTAAGAAAACTATTGAACTAATAAATAAAACTAAGAGATGGTTTTATGAAAAAACCAATAGAATAGATAAGACTTTGGTTAATTTAATTAAAAAAAAGAAAGACAAAAAGCAAATTACTTGTATCAAGAATGAAAAGGGTGAACTTAGCACCAAGGAAGAGGAAATTAAAACAATAATTAGGAATTATTTTGCCCAACACATTTGACCATCTTAGTGAAATGGATACGTGTTTACAAAAATACAAATTGCCCAGATTAACCGAAGAGGAAGTAAAATACTTAAATAACCCCATCTCAGAAAAAGAAATTGAACAAGCCATTCATGAACACCCTGGGAAAAAATCTCCAGGGCCAGATGGACTTACATGGGAATTCTATCAAACATTTAAAGAACAATTAATTCCAATACTATATAGACTATTTGGGAAAATAGGTGAAGCAGGAGTCTTACCAAATGCTTTTTATGATACAAATATGGTGTTGATACCTAAACCAGGAAGAGTCAAAATAGAGAAAGAAAATTATAGACCAATTTCTCTAATGAATATAGATGCAAAAATTTTAAACAAAATACTAGCAAGTAGATTGCAGCAACTTATCACAAGAATAATACACTATGACCAGGTGGGATTTATACCAGGAATGCAGGGTTGGTTCAATATTAGGAAAGCTACCAGCATAATTGAGCCTATCAACACCACATGATCATCTCAATAGCTGCAGAAAAACCTTTTGATAAAATACAACACCCATTCCTATTAAAAACACTAGAAAGCATAGGTATAAATGGAGTCTTCCTTAAAATAATAAATAGCATATCTAAAACCTTCAGCAAGCATTATATGTAATGGGGACAGGCTAGAAGCATTTCCAATAAGATCGGGGTGAAACAAGGATGTCCATTATCACCACTGTTATTCAATATTGTACTGGAAACCTTAGCTTTAGCAATAAGAGAAGAAAAAGAAATTGAAGGCATTAGAATAGTCAAAGAAGAAACAAAGCTATCACTCTTTGCAGATGACATGATGATATACTTAGAGAATCCTAGAGAATCAAGTAAAAAACTACTTGAAATAATAAACAACTTTATCAAAGTTGCAGGCTATAAAATAAACCCACACAAATCATCAGCATTTCTGTATATTACCAACAAAGCCCAACAGCAAGAGATAGAAAGAGAAATCCCATTTAAACTTACTGTGGACATTATAAAATATTTAGGAGTCTACCTCCTGAAAGAAACCCAGGAACTCTATGAACACAATTACAAAACACTTTTCACACAAATAAAATCAGATCCAAATAATTGGAAAAACATCAGTTGCTCATGGGTAGGCCGAGCTAATATAATAAAAATGACAATCCTACCTAAGCTAATTTACTTATTCAGTGCCATACCAATCAAACTACCAAGAAATTATTTTATAGAGTTAGAAAAAATAATAACAAGATTCATTTGGAAAAAAAAGGTCGAGAATATCAAAGGAACTAATGAAAAGAAATGCAGGGGAAGGTGGCCTAGCAATTCCAGATCTTAAATTGTATTATAAAGCAGCAATCATCAAAACTGCTTGGTACTGGCTAAGAAATAGGGAGGTGGATCAGTGGAATAGGTTAAATATGCAAGACACAGTAGTCAATGACTATAGTAATCTATTATTTGATAAACCCAAAGACCCCAGCTTCTGGGCTAAGAACCCAGAAAAAAACTGCTGGGAAAAATGGAAAAGAGTATGGCAGAAATTAGGCATACACCCAAATCTCACACCATATACCAAAATAAAGTCAAAATGGGCTTATGACTTAGATATAAAGGCTAATACCATAAGTAAACTGGGAGAACAAGAATAGTTTACCTATCAGATCTATGGAGAACAGAAGAATTCATGACCAAACAGGAGATAGAGAACATTATGAAAAGCAAAATGGATCATTTTGATTACATTAAATTGAAAAGTTTTTGCACAAACAAAGCCGATGCAACTAAGATTAGAAAGAAGGTAGAAAATTGGGAAAGAATTTTTACAACCAGTCTCTCTGATAAAGGCCTCATTTCTAAAATATATAGAGAATTAAGACAAATTTATAAGAACACAAGCCATTCCCCAATTGATAAATGGTCAAAGGATATGAACAGACAGTTCTCAGATGAAGAAATTAAAGCCATCTATCGTCATATGAAAAAATGCTCTAAATCGTTATTGATTAGAGAAATGCAAATCAAAACAACTCTGAGGTACCACATGACACCTATCAGATTGGCCAACATGACAAAACAGGAAAATGATAAATGTTGGAGAAGATGTGGGAAAATTGGAACACTAATACATTGTTGGTGGAGTTGTGAAGTGATCCAACCATTTTGGAGAACAATTTGGAACTATGCCCAAAAGGCTACAAAAATGTGCATACCCTTTGATCCAGCAATAGTACTTCTAAGGCTATATCCCAAAGAGATCAAACAAATGGGAAAGGGACTCACATGTACAACAATATTCATAGCAGCTCTTTTTTTGGTGGCAAAGAATTGGAAATTGAGAGGATGCCCATCCATTGGGGAATGGCTGAGCAAGTTGTGGTATATGAATGTAATGGAATACTATTGTGCTGTAAGAAATGATGAACAGGATGACTTCAGTAAAACCTGGAAAGACTCATATGGTCTGATGCTGAGTGAAGTGAGCAGAACCAAGAGGACTTTGTACACAATAACAGACACATTGTGCGATGACTAATATTGATAAACTTAATCCTTCCCAGCAATACAAGGATCTAAGACATCTCCGTAGTTTGGACGCTTCTGATTGTGAGAAAGGTCCCCAACCCCCTTCCATGGGAGCATGGATGCATGGGGGGTATATTGGGGGACATACCGGTGGGTTGGGGGATGGACAGAGCAGCAGTAGATGGAAGGTATAGATGTGTCATGGTCTGAGAGCTTGAGACCCTTCAAAGACCAGAGCACAGGACAGGGTCATCTGGAATGAATTCAGAGACTCAAGCATTTTTTGTGAGTCAAGGTGGCAAAGATTTATTGTCAGAAACAGTGTTTCTGAGATGAGGGAGAAATTGGGGTCTAAGCACAAATACAAGCACTGAAGATGTTCAGTGGGTATAGATTCATGGAGAGGGGAGGCGTGTCTGGGGGAGACACATTGGTCGATGGGTGGGTGCCCAGATGTTTTGGGAGCACCAAAAAGAACATGAAGAGAGGGATGGATGGATAGATGCATGGGGGCACGGGTGGAAGATGTATGGGCATGTGGATAGGGGAGGCAGGGAAGGACCAGGTACAGTGGAAGCAAGGGTAGATGGATGAACGGAGACAAGGAGGCTGGGGGGGGTGTGGATGCATGGGGGGCAGGGGTGGTGGGAAGGCTCATTTCCGCCTCAGCCCAGCTGCTTCCAGTGCTCCAGCCAGGCCGGGCCCTCCCTGAGGCAGCAAGCGGCCTAAACCCCCAGGGACCCGCACAGCTGCAGTCTCGACCTCCCTCGGGATGAGACCTTGGCCTGGGCCCCGGCCTGGGTCCCAGCCCGTGCGCGCGCCGGGCACGTGCCTCTCCAAAGGCGCGCGCACGGCCATCAGCCACCCTCAGTGCGCACGCGCCCCATCCCTGCCCTCCCCCTCCCTCCTCTCTGCCCCGGGATTCCCTTCGCGCGCCCGTTTGAGCCTTCTCTTCGCTCCTGAGACCCTGGGGCTGGGGGGCGGCCCAGGAGAGCGCAGAAGCTAGCCGACTGGTCCTGGGGGGGGAGGGTGGCGGGGAATGGGGGCCGCGCCTCCGAGGCGAGGCCCGGCGCGCAGGCAGTGGGGGGGCAGCCCCGGCGGAGGGCCTGCGCGTCGGGGTCCTTGGGCTGAGCGTGCGTCTGTGCGTGCGTCCCGCAGTGGCGTCTTGTGTCCTCCTCCTTCTCCTCCTCCTCCTCCTGTGCGGTGACATTGGGCCGCGAGCGAACGAACGAGCGAAGGCAGCCTCCGAGTTCCGCAGCCGCCGCCATGTTCCGCTTGATGTTCAGGCAGGCCAAGAAGCACCCGAGCGTGAGCGTCCGGGATGGAAGGGGGGGCAGCCCGTGACCTTGGGGGGGCGTAAGGAGGGGGCGCGCCTGACCTTGGGGCGGCCGCCGCCCCGCCCTTGAACTCAATTTCCTGTTCTGTAAACTGGACTCCGGAGCCTCGGAGAGTTCCTTTAGCTTAGCTCCAGGAGGCCGCGATCCCCTCCCTCGAGCCTCAGTTTCCCCTTTTAAGGTGAGGGCTGCCTCAGTTTCCCCCTTGTAAGATGAGGGTGCCTCATTTTTCTGCTCTGTAAGATGAGGGCTGCCTCAGTTTCCCCTTATGTAAGATGAGGGTGCCTCGTTTCCCCTTCCCTAAGATGAAAGCTGCCTCAGTGTCCCCCTTTGCAAGATGAGGGTTGTCTCAGTCTTCACCTGTGTAAGATGAGGGTGACTCATTTGCTTCTCTGTAAGATGAGGGTGCCTTGGCTTCCCCCCCAAGATGAAGGCTGCCTCAGTTTCCCCCTCGGTAAGATGAGGGTGCTTCAGTTTCCTCCTCTGGTAAGATGAAGGAGGGCTGCCTCAGTTTCTCTCTCTGTAAGATGAGGGTAACTCAGTCGTGGTCCCCCCCCAGAATGAAAGGCCATCCTTCCGGCCCATATTTGGGTGCTGTAGTCAGACCTCGTACCCTTCTCTTGACCTCCTGTACTATTGGGGTGAGATGCCCCCCCCGAAGTGCTGCCCCAGGCCGGAGGGCCCCTCACTGCCCCCCCCCCCGTTGTCCCTGAGGGAGGCATTCCTGCCTCCCCAGCCCAGACACTGGGCTTCCTGAGCCAGAGGGAAAAGGGGCCACCCCTTCCCTTTACAGAGGAGGAAACTGAGGCAGAGGAGGCGAGGGGGGACACGCCCAAGGGCATACAGGTAGTCAGTCCCCGATGCAGTCACAGAAACGGCATCCCCTCTCTGGGCAGCCTGCCGTGGCCGGCCATCTGGCCAATTGCCGCAATGGCCCCAGTGCCCTCTGAGTGCCCTGACCTCTGATGCTCCTCCGCCCTGGGAGGCCCCACCTGGAGGGTCTGCGTCCCAGGGGACCTTGGGATCTCGGTCTCTTTATCCTTTGCTCTCCTTTCTCCAGTTGATCCCCCTGTTCATATTCATCGGAGCGGGGGCCACCGGGGCAACCCTGTACGTCATGCGCCTGGCTCTGTTCAATCCTGATGTCAGGTGGGTGCTTCCAAGGCAGAGACCCTGCCTTTCTGGGGCCTGAATTCGAGGTCGGGTCAACAAGCACTGTTGTCCTCCTGTTTCAGCCCAGTGCTGCAGGGCCGGCCTTGGCACAGCCTGTTCCCCTCCCCCCCTCCACCTGGAGTGCCCTCCCTAGCTCCTCAGCTCCTTTGGAGCCCAGGGGTTCGGCTGTCACTTGTCCGGGGCCCTTGCAGAGCAGCTTTGGCTTTCCTCACCCAGGGTGTGTCTACACATTTACTAGTATGTGAGCACTCCTCTGCCCAGGAAGGCTTGGCACGTTGTTGGTGCTCAGAGAGCCTGTCGAATGGATTTACTTGAATCCAGTGGCGTGAGAGTAGGCGTGTGGTGAAGAGTCTGGTGTGCCCTGCAGCCTCCAGGGCTTCCTTCATTTCACTCCGTCGTGGGTGACTTTGGCAGAGTGGCTCAGGAAAGGACTGAGGAGGAAGCATGAGCCCCTTCCCCCTGGGGGGGTCAGACACAGGTTGGGAGTTTGGGGGGAAGGGAGGTGTGAGGGGCTCGGACATCAGGGGCCTCACCTAGGAGGTAAAGCTTCAGTGGAGTTGAAAGGGGTGAGGAGGGAGCAGAGCCATGGCAAAGGCCTGGAGACCGGAGATGAAGTGTGACGTGTGAGCAGCAGCGAGGCCGGTTTGGCTGCATGGCATGAAGGGCACTTGGAGCCTGGAGGGAGACTCCAGAGCTCTTAGAGCCAGGTAGTGGCCCAGTCAGGTGAGGACTTTACACATGCCCTGATCAGGAGGGGAGAGAGAGGGAGACAGGGACAGCCCATGCTTGGCTGGCTTCTGGGGGGGGCGATCATCAGGTGGTCTGGGAGGGCACCTGCACACAGCCCTTCAGAGGAAGGGGGTCTGCCAAGAGTGTTTGGACCCTGCCCCGGTCAGTCCACACGCACATGCTTGCGTGGGACTCTTCTCATGCCCAGCTCTGTTCTATCACTTATCTTCTGGAAGCTTGACTTGTCATCCCTCAGTTGCTTCACTTGCAAAGAGGATAATATCCAGGCCTGCTTTTCTCCTTTGGGGGAGAGGGCAGGGTGTGGTGCTTCTGCAAACTCTTTCAATATAAAGGCTGATTTAAAAAAATAAACCCATTAGTAGAACTTGGTCTGTTCAGTACTCTGGTCTCTTCCAGGTAGGTGCTACATTAATGTAGTCATCTGTTGGTCTAACATTTGTGTGTTTTACTGTGCTTTTCTTGTTAGTTGGGACAAAAAGAATAACCCAGAGCCTTGGAACAAATTGAATCCCACTGATCAGTACAAGGTGAGTCAAACGATTCCTTGATACGCAGGAGAGAATGCATTTTATTAAATCTCATTAAGTATTTATCACATTGATTTATTAAGTCTCCTTCCCTGGGAAGTAGGCAGGATCAGTTCTGTTCTAAGAAATTCCCTGGGCCTTCTCGGCTGTTTTGTGAAATCATGTTGGCATGTCATAATGAGTATTTTTCTAGAAATAATGTTCCTGGCCTTCTGGCCTTAAGAGGGCAGTTTCACCCAAGGGTGAGGGTCTGCATTGCTTGTGCTTCCTGGGGACGTTCAGGGATCCAGGGGGCTTGGAGGTGTTTTGGGGGAAGGGAGAGGAGCAGAGGAGAGTCGTTTCTTCTGGATGGGGAGAGTCTGCTGTGAAGCCACCCCCATGCAGAGCAGCTGCTTTTACTCAGGAGACCTGCTAAAAGCACCCAGGTGACTGGACATGTGGAGTGACCAGATTGGTGTTCTTTTTCTATGCTACAAAAAGCCCTTGGTTATTTGTTGTGGAGCCACCAGACAGAGTAGGGGTGACCAGATTAAAACCAAACGCTGCCCCTGGGGCCCTTGCTTCTGTAGAAGAAGAGCCACGGGTTGGCCAGGCTGCCACTTTCTTGGTCCTGTCAAGTTTGTGCTCTGTTTGGGAGTCCCCTTACTTGAGATGCCACTGTAGCAAAATCAGCAATAGGTAGGGTTTATGTGTAAGGTTTGCAAAGCCTCATGTGATCACAGTGTAAAGGGGAGGAGAAGCTAGATTACCTTGGGATGTTTTCCCCTCTGACTAATTTCTTTGTGAAAAGAAGAGCTTGTAGAAGCAAGTGAGAAGTAGAGATGAGTGTCTGATTTGTTCCAGAAGATTTAAAGTATTTTATTTTTAGAATTAGGCAAAAGCTCATCATTAGAGAAGTGCACCCCCTGATTTACCCACTGATACAACCAAAGGAAATTTACATTTGAAATACACAAAACAGTGATTGGTACCCAGCTCCAAACAGCAGAATCCCAGGGATCATGAGTTAGGGCTCAGAGAGATGGTCCTGCCCCAGGGATTGGCCTTGGCCTGGGCCAAGGATCAGGAACTGAAGGGGCCTTTGAGCTGAGCTAGTCCTGCCCTCCTCATTCTGCAGACCAGAGAAGCTGGGACTTCCCAAGGTCAGAGAAGGCACACAGCAGAGGCAAAGCCCAGGTCCTCTGCTCTCCCATCCCCCCACTTTCCGCTGACCCAGGACCTCAGAGGACTTCATGCATCTACCTCATTTATTAGCTGCTGTCACAGACTCACTGCTTTGAGACTAAAAGCAGCGGAGAACACTGTTTTGTTGTTTTTCATAATGGTAGGTAAGACTGATTCTAAATTCTTTCAGGATCTAGAGGCTATTTTATTTTCTGCTCTTTGCAGGGGTTTTGAAATCGAGTTCAGCCACCGTTAAAATGAAATCCTGAGCTTCCTGCCTGAGGTCCTCTAGTCTTTGATAGAAGCATGTTTAGCTAAAACAAAACCATTTAGATTTTCCCTTGGAGTACATTTTAATGCGATTTGATGATATTTTAGCGTTGGCAACCTAATTCCAAACTCCCCAATCATATTAGTTTCTTATCAGCTATAAAGGTGTGCCTAAATCTTGCAGTTTATTTCTGTACCTCCCTTCTGCTTTGTGTCAGGAAGATGCTTGATCCTTAAGTCGCTAACATTGTGACCTATGAGAGCCGTCACTAAGGTGGCAGGCTAGTTCTGTATGCAGAGCACAGCCAATTGTCTGAGTGGAGTACGTGCCTCCGTGGACACTGTCGGGTGTTTCTGTTGGCGCTGCAGACACCAGGGGTATTTGTGCCAAATGGGTCCTTTTTAAAAAACCACCATAACAGATTTTAGTGCTGGTTTCTGATCATCTTACCAGGGATGTTTTCATTTGTTGTCTGGAAGGAAAGGAGAATTTTGTGGTGACCTTTTTACTGCCAGACTTGGTTCAAGAGCTTCATAGCGAACATTAAAACCTGCAGTGATATTTTTTTTTCTTTTTGTGAATGAGATATTTACCAAACTGGGGCAAAGGAATGAGATGTTTTCAAATGATAGGTACACAACTTCTGCAATGTTCCCAAGCAGTAATAAACCCAAGGTTGTCACCTTGTTTGCTCTTGGGTGGTTATGTCTCCTGCAGCAGAGACTTTGAGATGGTCCCTAAAACTTCATGGGCTGTGAAAATGGCAATAAGGAAAATGCTGTGAATTATAAATAAACGGAAAAACAAGGCTGTTGAAAATCAGGTGGCAGTTGACTTTAGAAAGCAACTTGAAGAATGTTTGAAATGGAAATTTTATTGAATAAAAAGTAACTGGAGGCTAAGCATGCAACATTAGAAAGTATGCCTTGGAATTTTTAGAGATCTGGTCAATGACAGCTGGGTAAAGAGGGTGTCTTGGGCTAATCGGCCTCCCCATAAAATGAAGAGTTCCCGCCCCAGTTCTGCCAGGAATCACAAAGACAAGCTGCTGGGCTTCAGGAGGATTTTGTTCTGGGAGTAGAGGCTGCCGGTTCTGGTGTCTGAAGGGCAAGTGAGTGGTTACCTTAGGGTTTGTAAACCATGGGCCAGAAATTATCCAAGAATGCCCCAAAGAGTTGCCCTGTAGCTCTGGAAGGGCATGGTACTCCATCTATCAAAGTATTTTTTTCAAATAACCAGTTGATTCAATCATAATGTTACACATTTGAGTGGGAGGAGAAATTGGAGACATAGCTCTTGGCATTTCTGCTGTGTTTTATTGGAGATTCTCCTCCCAGAAATGGATTTTAAGAAGATAGACTTGGAAACCAAGTGCTGAGCAGGAAGGTTAGGACTCCAAGTGTGTCAGAAGCCTTCAGCGCCCAGGGCTTTTTATCAGACTCAGTTCCTTCTGCCTTTGCTGGGCTTACTCATTTAACAGATTTTTCCACTGGTCCTGGTCCATTCCCCCACAGTCCTTAGTGAAAATGGGGGGCTTCTGGGGTTTGGAATTGATGCAGTAGAGGCCCACAACTTCTACCTGATAGGCCTCTACCCTATGGGCATTCACATCCCATTTTCTTAAAAGCCTGCATCTGGTATAAATGAAAATATCACTACAGTAGCAAGAGAGAATGTGAGTATGAATGTGATTCTGGCTATGCCCAGACGTGGAAGTCCCCAGAAGGGCTCAGGACTGTGTCTGAGGAATTTCAGATCTGACAGGGCATCAGCCTGTTTAAATAGCCACTTAGTACGCGCTCTCCCCCCCCCCCAATCTGGTTCACAAAGCAAGGAAGAGCGTTACGTGCTGCCTGGAGCTGTCATTGCGCAGCCTTTACCTGGCCTAGTGAGCGCTCTTTCTAAAAGTGCAGTCTTCTGAAAGGGCCATTACATGGAAGTACAGGCTCATCGTAGCCCCTGCCTGTCACTGCTGTTTGATTGTGTGCAAGCAGTATACAGGGTGGGGGTCCCCTTTCTGTCACCTGCAGCTGTAGCCAGGAGGTGCTTACTTATGGCCTTTTGGCATAAGTGGTGGTGGCTGGTGCTGCCCAGTGGTATGGACTCCTTACGCCACCAGGTTTGTCAGACTGAGATTCTACCTCAGGGTCTGGAAAACCAGAGCTGAAGGCAGTGGGCTTAGTAGGGCTGAGTTATAAGGTGCCATATCATAGATGGAGGATGTGACCAAGGGCAGGGGCACAGAAGTGCTGGTTTGCACAGTACATCTGTCTTCTGGCTGTGCAGCCACAACCTGGTGGTCTTGGGCTCCACCCAGGCACATCAGTCAAGACTGGCAGGGGCATTTCTAAAGTACCAGAGGGTGGTTTTTACGTGGGAAAGGATAGTCTGGTCACACACAGGCACACACACACATGCAGTCAGGGATGAAACCGAAGCCCAGCTGGTGTTGAAGAGTCAGGATTTGAACCCATTTCCTCTTGCTTCAGATTCCAGGACTGTTGTTTTACTCCAGGGAGCAGGGTGAGAAGTCTGCTAAGCGAATGAATGTTGGAAACATGATTTTAGGAGACTTGTTGAAATTCCTTAGAATGAGCAGCCAATGGCCAAGTATTTCAGAAGCATCGTTTATAGTAAAATTGAGGTGCTCAGTAGGAATCTCATAACATTAATGCAGATCCCAAAGACTTGAGCCAATAATTTGTTACATTGATATGTTTGTATTTTTTCAAATTCAAGAGTTGCATTTTATTTATATCTCTATATATTAGAGTAACATGCACATCTTTAGATTCAGATTGGCCAATTCAGATGAGTGGAATTTTATACAATGTAGAGGTAAGATTGTTCCCTTTTTTTTTTTAAACATCTACCATATTTCCAGTGATACTAAAACAACGTGAATTCTTATTGAATTCTAACCCCTTGCCATTTGTTACAGGAGACCAGCAGTTCTCAAACTCTGGTCTCAGGAGCCGTTTACACTCTTAACAGTTTTTAAGGATTGCCAGAGAGCTTTTGTTTCTGCAGGTTGTATCCATTAATAGTTGCCCTATTAGAAATTAGAACATCTTGGTATAATTTTGAAAAGAGTCTTGACCTTGTGGCACCCTTGAAGGGGTCCCAGGGATGCAGTGTTGGAGTTACATGGAGTTTGGGCCGTCTTTGGAGAGACTTGAAAGCTATGTAACATGTGTGTTTATTTCTTGTTTTCCAAGTTCTACTCGGTGAATGTGGATTATAACAAACTGAAGAAAGAAGGCCCAGAATTCTAAGTGAAAATGATGCTTTTTCAGCTGCTGAGAATGAAGGTCTTCCACAAGCCATCCGCACAATTCTACACACAATTAGGAAATGCTTGATCTTTCCCTCATGTTGCATTTAACAGGTGAATAAAGATGTGAAACTTGAGCTGTGATTTTGATACTAATGCAGATATCTGCATTAACCCCATGCTGTCCGGCTGATACAGTCACGGGCACTAAAACCTGGATAGAAATGGGGTCACCGCAGTGAGGTGTGTAAGAATCCCTGCGGACCACCCGCTGACTTCGTTTTAAGATGTAATGTCTGGGTTTTCGCGTGTTTTATTTATCGTGTCAGCTGTTTCCTAATTGCGGTTTCATCTGGTTCGGGCAGCACTCAGGAGTGTGGAGGACGCACTCCTTCCTGCTTGTTTCGTCCGGGAACTCCATCAGTGGCCTTCCCACATCCGCTCTTGTCGGAGCTGTGTGGGGTGGGACCTGAGCCCACTCGTCTCCCGCTGGCCCCGATGCTGCCTTTCTGCCTAGCGACAGACCTTGAATTGCTGCTTATGCACACGTTGTTAGCACCCTGCTCCACACTCCCTGAATCGATGTTCTCTCTTGTTTAGTCCTTACAGTCTGGCCTGATAGGTTAGCTGCACAATATTTAATGGTCTGGGAGCCTCTTCCTTTGGTTCCTGCTGGCTCTCCCAGTGAGCCGGAAAGTCAGAAACAGTGGGTTGCACTGTAAAAACCTGCCTCTTGTGACTTCTTTGGAACAGCCGCACTGCAGCTGGAGTGGCTGCACCCACTTCTCCGTGGAGGACCGTGGAATCCTCAGCCTCCCAGCCTCCCTTGGCACTCGGAGAACGTTGCCTCTTGACAAAGGGTATTCCACTTGGGCCCCACAGTTTCCAGAGCCCCTGCATACCAGCTCATGGGGAGGGCTTCAGTGATGTGCATTTGAGGCAGTTGCTCATTGACCTCCTAATTCCAGGCTATGTGGGCATTGGCTGACCAGTCATGTGCATGTGCAAACCTTGCACGTGAGCCATAGAAGGCCATTTCTTAAGCCTGCTGTGCAGCTAGGGTGAGAATCGGGGGTCCAAGGGGCTAGGCCACACCTAGTGCCCACAGCCTGCAAGGTGGGGGGCCAGTCCCCACTTTGCATCAGTATGTTAAGGTGCAGACCATTTGTAGGAAGCAGTGACTGGAGGAGGTCAGAGAGCAAAGGTTGCCTGGGGCATGGCACTGGAGCCTCTCAGGAAGGTGCCTGCCCAGCTTGTTGGGAGGACATAGCCAAGGGCCCTGGGCAAGGAATGATCAAAAGGGTTCTGCAGAGGCAGGGGAATGCCCACTTATCCCCTGGGTTAGTGCAGGTCATCAGACTAGGATGGTCCAGTTAGCCACCTTTTTATTTTTTAAATTTTATTTTTTTAAATATTTAGGCAATTGGGGTTAAGTGACTTGCCCAGGGTCACACAACTAGTAAGTGTCGAGTGTTTGGTCTGAGGCCATATTTGAGCTCGGCTCCTCCTGACTTCAGGGCCGGTGCTCTATCCACTGCACCACCTAGCTGCCCCCTAGCCACCTTCTTTAAAGTGTATTATGATAAAATGTGCCAGGGGCCAGTGTACTATAAACATCCCAGGGGAAGCCCCTGTAGTATAGTGCTGACCACCTAGGGATGCCAAGTGGTGACCTACAGGCTTTCTCAGCTCTGGGTACATCTTAGACTGAGCTTGACATGAACCAAGTAGAGGAACCTCTTTTGGACTTCTGCTGTGTTAGGCACCAGGAGAGGTACAATGAGGTTAGTGCAGAGCCCTTCCTGCTTCCCAGAGCCCCATCTGGCAGGAGAATATGGTGTAGCTAGGTACCTGCAAGAGAGGTCAAGTCCCCGAAAACAGAGATGGGTAGGGGGTGGAGGGGGCCAAGCTTTCCCAGCACAGAATATGACCACTCGGGTCCAGGCCAGATCTCTGCTGACCAGATCATCCCTAAGAATCTCATCAGACCATCAGAAGTCACCTCAAATGATCCCTTTATCTCAGACTCCACTGATTTAAACCATGTATACAAGGTGACCTCATGGCTTGGTGAGCTGTCTGACTAAGAATGTGTGAGCTAACGTTTCCTCCACGTTCTGCCAAGGTGATCGCCTGAATGACCCCCAGGCAAGCTCTGGGAAAGCTCTCCCAGCTGGTCCAGGGTCCAGTGTTGGGCAACAGCCTTGCCCAGGTCGAGGCCCCTCTGGCAGTTTCCTCAGCTGAAAAATGATGCTAATCCTAGCGCCTGCTCCCAAGGGTGTTGTGGCTCCCTTAACGCTGTTACTGTTTCATTTTTAGGTGGCTCTGAATTTTGAATGAATGCCTTGCATTAGGAAATAAAAATCTCCACAGCTTATTAAAATAAGTGCAGTAAAGTGGGTTTTTTGTTAGCACTGAGGAGATCATCTATAAACCGTAATAAAACTGCCCTCAGAAGGAAGGCCTGATCACTGATGTGTCTGGCACAGAGATGCCTTCTATGATACAGCATGGGAATCACCCTGGGAAAAGGCCCTGGGCAGCCTGCTCGTGCTTCCAGGTAAAGACTCACCCTGGACCAGCAGCCCCGTTAATTTGTAGACTTGTTTTTCATGTTGGAAGCAAAATCACTGGAAGCATGAAATGTGTCTCGTTTGGATTTCCTTATATCAGACAAATGAAACAAAAGACCTGCAGGATAATGAGAATAAATTACTCTGCAGGAGAAAACAAGTGAGCTACTTTTCAACTAGCAGAAGCTCCAGAAGCCAAGATGGTTTGGGTTATTGATCTGTCTAGGGCTGCAATCAGGTGCCTGGTTCCAACTCGGAACTCGGTTTCTCTGGAGTGCCTGTCACTGGAGCTTGGTGGTGGTCCCCAACAGATGTGCTATGGGAGAAGTCAGGGTGGGGCGGGCCAGAGACCCATCCGTGTTCAGGAGTGTTCACTGTTCTGTAGAGCTCCTCTAACCCAGGCCGCCCACTCCCAGATTCCGTCCATCAGCATGCAGTGAGAATTAGATACTGATCTGCAAAGTTGAAAGGGGAGCATTGCAGCTGATTGATTGCTTCTCTCAAAAGAAAGCCCAAAGACATACTGTGATGAAGGAGGAGGGGCGGGGAGGAGGGAGGAAGAGGAAGAGGAGGACAACCATAAATCTCAAGGCATTGGTATGAATGAGCGAGAGGGAGAGCTAGGAGAATGGAAGACTCTTTCCCTCCCTATCAGGGACATAGACTGTAATTTTTAATCCTCCCAGGGGAAAAAAAAACTCCCTTGTCCTTTGTTAACCAGAAAATGAAAACTATTTATAGTGATGATAAAGGGTTATGGGGTAACTGGTCTCTGGCTCAGACTCTGGTCTTCTCTCCATTGCACTCAGTAGTTTTCCTAATGCAGACCACAATCATATGAATCATTCAGTTAGCTTTTATTAAATGCCTACTGTGTGCCAGGCACTGTGTGGGTAAGTCCTGAAAGATCAGAGAATACAGTGGGGCAGACTGGATCAATAAAAGCCATGCAGCCCATCTCTGAAGGGAACAGCTAAGGTCTTGGGAGTTAACACAGAGGTGAAGTGACCTCACCGAGGTCAAACAGTTGACACTGGTGTGTCTAGAGCAGGGTTGGAAGCCAGGTCCTCCCGACTCCAAGCCGTGGCTCTGTCTTTACTGTGGCTTTTTGCAAACAACCTCCCTCTACGTTGAAGGACTCCCAGGGAGCAGGAGCTCCGTTCTAGGGGTTTCAGATTTGTGTCTCTGGCCCTTTCAGCTCTACCCCCAACCTGAGCCTTTCAGAGGCCACCTGGTCAGTAGCCACAGCCATGCCTCCCCTTCCCAAAAACAGAGGCCCCAAAGGGATGCAAGATGCAGGGACAGAGGTCATATTGTTGTGGTCTGAGAGGTTGAGACCTCTCAAAGGCTGAAGTACAGGCCGGGTTGTCTGGAATGAATTCACAGACTCAAGCATTTTTCAAGTCAAGGTGGCAAAGATTTATTGTTATACTTTTCAGAGGGCAAGGATTCTTAAGGAACCTGCAAGGGACTGAGGATGGAGCTAGGGTTTATATGGAAAAGGGCATGGGAAAGGAATGCCAGGGACACTGATGAGGTAATCTAAAGGTCCAGGTGTCTTTGGGAGCTGTGGATGGGAAAGTACAGGGAGTATACCAGACACGGAGGGAGATGACAGAGGTATGGGTCTTTGGAGTATGCCAGGAGGAAGAGTCCTTGGGCTGGCCAAGGACAAAACTCCTTGGGCTGGGCAAGGCACCCCTCTCCCTCTATCTTGATGAGAGAATGCTCTGCAACAAGGGAAAGCTTTCTCACAAGACAGGAACTGGGAGGCTTCCAGAGACATGATCTGAGGGCTGGGGCCTGAGCAGCCCAGCTCTGTGTAGCTGTACCAGGGAAAGAGATAATGGTCTTGCTGGGGCCCACGTATGAGTAGTTGCTAGGCTTAGCGTCCTTGGGCTGGGAAGCGGTTGCCAGAGACGGTGTTTCTGAGACTAGGGAGAAATTGGGGTCCAAGTACAAGCACAAGCACCCAAGCACCCCCTCAATATGGAACCTGTAACTAGTGGCTGTGGAAAACTTGGCTGCTTCCCTCTACCTCCCCAGCTGCCCCCTTACACAGCTTCCCAAATAGTCTAAGAGCTATGTGGTTAGTGGCAGAACTGATGGTCCCTGAAAGGAGCCCAGGATGGGGGGAAGGGAGTACAGCATGTGGAGGCAGAGCACCTGCTTGCCTTGTTTGCATGCTGTGTCCTCGCTGGCATCTCAGAGATACCGGGATCATGCCCCAGCCCCTGCATTGGCTCTAACCCCCTGAAGCAGGACTGGAGAAGGCCTGGGAAAAGATCAGAGGCTCCCAGTTGAATGGAGGTTATCTCTGGTCCCAGGTTAGAAGGCCCCTTGGAAGGGAACCCTGAAGGGCAAGTTTATCAATCCCCAAGTATCTGTTACATGCCTCTTCTGTGCCAGGCACTGTGCTGGGTACTGGGGACACATAGACAGAAGTGAAACAGCCTCTACCCTCAGGGAACTTCCAGTCTAGCCAGGGGAGACCACATGGACCTATAATGTTATTTACAAAAGAGATGCAAGAGAATCTGGGGGCATTGGTAATGTGGGGATCA